AGCCACTGTAGAAAGAAATGTCGTGCAGAAGAAGAAAGTGCCCGATTTGTCACTAATCAAGGAGGAGCCTGAGGAAAGCCAGGCTGCACAGGAGGGGTTAGTTCGCAATTAGAAACACTTATCAATGCTGCACCCACGCAGTTATAAGCCTGTGGCCACGCGTGCTGAAGTGACCAGCTTGTGCGACAACTTCACGACTAGTAATTCCCGCATATAATTTGTCAAACATAAAAAGCGGTTGATTTGCGTGATGCGCAGCGCGAACAAACGCGAAACATCATCATTTCATGGTTTCTCAGAGTGGCAAAGGTCAGCTGTTTCTCATACTCTCGGCAATCGTTTACTTAGTTGTTGCTATTTTGGATGACTCGATGCAGGTTGCCTAAAGTCACTTCTTGGAAAAAAATAAAGTCAGCCGGCTGGTTGTCAAGGGGTGGTTCACTAGGACAAAAAGCGACTTTTTCGCGCTTGCACCACTGAACCGAGGCTCGCGCAGGCGAAACACTTCGCTGCGAGAGCCTCGGTCCAGTGGTGAACAGTGGACCTGAGGTTCCCGCAGCGAAAAATGTTTTGCGCTGCTAAACGCGAAATAGTTGCCTTCCGTCCTAGTGAACCGCACCCGGTTGGCACCGTTAGATACAATAAACATTTACAGCCCGCGCTCTCAGCGAAGAATATGCGGCGGCGCATCGCCATGCTCCTCTAGCGCTCTCTCAAGCGAGACAGAACCAAGACTGAGCCTAGGTGGAAAGCTCTGAACTGAGTTAGGGCAAGACCACCCTGTCTACGGCATTCCGCTCCCTGCTGAGGCTTACATTAGTCGTTGTGCTATCTCGCCACGTCGCCGCGTGGTCCCCCCAACTGAGTTAGCACCCGCCCCACCGAAAGTGGGCTTAGGCGTGTCACCGGAAGTGATGTGGCTGCTGCCGCACTTGATAGAAGTTGCGTGGATAAGCTGTTGCCAGCATGCTTTGCTGATATCCAGCGATGTATGTTGGAAGCAGCTTATCCACGCGACATCTATCAAGTGCGGCTGCTGCCGGTGACACGCCTACCCCAACTCTTAGATATCGACTGTATCTCAGCGCCTTCCGAGATTCAGGTCACCACGTACCACGCGCCCCAACAAACGTAATCAGTGGCCAGAAGATGCATTTGGAAAGAAAATGGACACAATATCCGAAGACGATAAAGAGAACAATGTGAGCAAGCAGAGCCGCACCAATGAAACCGAACTACTTGTGCAGTCATGCGATGAAGAACTTCTTGCGCAGGGACTTTATGATTACAGGTATGGCACTTGACGTAGCTTTTCACTTAGCTTAACTTTTGGCTGTTATCGCATTTGTCGAACTTTAGCCTGCTTCCTAGGACCAGATGGCGTAGTTGCAAAGCGAGCAATACACTTGACATCTTGCACCATCACCTGTATCACCTGTCGTCCCGTTGATCGTCGATTTGCTCGAGCGGGCGCCAGCAACGTCTCCATTCGTCCCTGTCGCGTGCTAGAGTGGTCCAGTGGATCCTCCTCGCTCGAGGGACACGAAGTCCTTCATTCCTTTCGTTCAGAGCTTTCGTGAAGAAGTCTGACCATCGGGCCGGCGGTCGTCCAGGTGTTCGTTTGACGTCCCGAGGGATCCAGTCGGTAACCGCTCTGGTCCAACGGTCATCGCAAAATCGCATGACGTGTCCGGCCCACCTTATCTTCGATTCCTTGGCGAAAACGGCAGCGTCCCTGATCTTCGATCGTTGGCGTAGTTCGAACTCCGGATTCCCCTCTGCACTTGCGTGTATAGGGTTACTCCTAGCATCGTCCTCTCGACAGCGCGATTCGCGCGACCGATCGCGGACTCTGACACCAGCCGGTGCTATACAAGTAGGGTGGAGCATGCCGCATTTTTGAACAGAAATGTATGCAAGTGGGGCAAACTAAAGCAACAGTCCCAGCAGGGTTTTTACCTTCGACACTAATGGTGTGGAACGATGCGCTAGCCCTAGTCAAGAACATAAGAAGTGTGACTGAACAAAAAAACTCACCTTGGAAAGCCGCTAGAAAGGGAGCTGAACGGCTTCGAAGTGGGCGTGGTTAAATCGGCCGAGGGGATTGCAGCCGATTGCAACCACGCCCACTTCGAGCTGTTCAGCTCCCTTTCTAGCGGCTTTCCTAAGGTGAGTTTTTTGTTCAGCCTTAGAGCAATTTTGGATCTAGTTTTTTTTTCACAGATATCCAGACACGCCGACAGAGCTAGTAGAACATTGGAAAGAGTTACGCGCGAACTAATTTGAACTCTCACAACAACGACAACGTCGAGCGTGTTCGATTTTCAACTAACCACGGAATTGAAGCGTTTTATTCACTACTCGCTAGCTACTACATCAAGTTGAAGTATTCGAATTATCCAGCTCGGTTTGACTTTGTAGCTGCCCACATTATCATTGTTTGCATTCGTATTTCTTTCCGTATTTGTTAGACACCGGTTTTATTTTGTCACACATCACCGCAGATAGATATGAATACAATATATTTTGCTCATCACATAATTACCATATCATGAATCATATCACTTTCAGAAATCCTTTTTTCTGAGGTGTTAGTGATTCATTTATTTGCTTAGCGTGCAAGTTTTAGTAATGCATGTGCGTTTTAGTCATATGGGTTGTGTCAACCACCCTGTATGATTGATTTATTGATCACCTGTGAAATAATTAGAAAGTAAAGATGGTTGTTTGTAGTGGTGTTATGTTCAGTTTTTCGGCTTAGGCCGCATTCATACTCAACACAGAAGTGGAGATCCGGATGTTTGGCAGAGAACACATATGTATTGATCAGGAGTCTAGTCAATCAAAGAATGCGCATGAAATTAACTAGGGGTAGACTTAGGGTTATCTCATCGATAATGATTTTCCTCATTTCCTAGTTACCTGGAACGAGATTCAGGGCGGAGCGTTTCGACCGTGACGCTTTCTCTTCCGTTCTATACTTACCAGATCCCTTTCATAGATTTCCAACGCAGCGCTGAGTCTAACAACACCCTGCTCAACCGTAGACATTACACCATATTTGCGGTTTCCTTAGGTCAACGGGATTGTTCCTATGAATTCTCCTTTTCCATTGGAGGACCCTGTGGTGACAGCAAAGTGAACGGCAGCTGAAAGTGTACTCAAAAATCTACATTTTTTCAAAACTTTTTTGATCGCTTTCGATAATGTGTGATGCTATCACGTCATATGTATCACCTGGTCTGCAATTACGACAGGTCTTCCGGTGTGAAACAGTGGGTTTCCAAGGCTTGCGGCAATATTTTGACCGACGTCACACTCGGCGGCGGACAAGCGATGGAGCGATCGCGATCGCTCCTTTTTCGCTTGTTCCGGTCGCGAGTGTGACAGTCTGGTTCGTGAAGCACACTCATATGCTCACTGAGTGTGTGAGGTCTAGTGAAGACGGTATCGCGAGTCGAGGGTGTGTTGAAACTCGAACATTTCAGCCTAATCACGATGTCAACGTGACCTTTGTCCATCACCCCACCCCTAAACTGGTACACACCCTGGATCATGGATTCCCCGCATGGAAACATGAAAGCGCGAGGCGGCGACTGCCCCCCCTCCACTGGGCCACAGTGCAGCGAAATTTCTTCTTCTAGAATTTCTTTGCAGGAGTGTCCATCTGGATATGGAAAAAAGCGCATAGGCATGGGTATAAAAACATATCTTTCCAACTTCTGCATAGATTAGTAGTCAGTGTGAGTTATGCACCATGCAACATTTGATGTCAAACTTGATTTGTACGAGTGTAGAACATTCGTTGCTGTTACGGTTGATCAGTGGAAGGAAGAAAGCTGAGCTGGTGCTAGTTCTTCATCCGATCTTGACCTAAGTTTTTTGAGCCAATTATCAAAATATTGCCACATTTTCTAAGAGGGAGCTAGCGACTTTTCAAATAATTTGACTAGGTCTGGAGTGAGCCATAAATCTTTCTTTATTGCCGTAAAATGACTACAAAATATGAAAATAGCTGTGATTATGGCGTGAAGTAAAATGTAGGGAAATGTGTGCTTGGTGTGTAATGACAGAATTGGAGCGTGTTGCGGCGCGATCGATATCGACGGAGCGGTCGTTCTTCATCATCCACATCATCGTGGTTTGGGTGCCAGCTATTCGTCGACCTGCTGATAGGCGTTCGTCCCTCGTTTCTTCTCACGTTATCATCCCATCCGTTCATCCAAACTTCCAAAGTGTATAAGAATTTGCCTCGAACCGTTTGCGGAATGTCGCATACTCCATCACGTCGGTCAGAAAATGTCGCTATCGCTCATTCGCCATTCGAGGTTGGGCCGGTAAAACACTACTCTTCGTTCATCCTTGTGTCCGTCTACTGGTCGCTTCGCCTGATTGTTTATATTCGCTAACTGCTGAAAGCTGAGAGATGAGATGACTCATAACGCATCCACTAATATCATCACATAGTTTGTAAATATATGTGTAGAGTTCAAAACTGGCAGACGAGTCCATTATATGAGTAGAACAGGTGAAAAACTTCATGACGCTTCGTTATATTTTTATTTTGATTCAACGAGTTCAATCGGTTAGGTCATATGTGTGTACAAAAACAGGCATTGGAATGCGTTTGCATAGTCGAAAGACAGCGAAGTTTTCAGGGCCACAAAGTTGGTGATTTTGGGATTAAGTGCTAGTATAGCTATGAAATAAGCAAAGCCGCAGTTAAAGAAATTTTGGCGCTACTTCAGTTCCGACGAAAAAAAAAACAGTAATGTTCAGGTCAAAACTTTGCCGTCTTCGATAATTTGATGTCTATTTAGTGAATATAACATCCGTTTCTGGTCCTGCTGAAGCTATTCGCAATAGATATTCTAAACAATTTTCGTTCGCATACGACTTCATAACCTTGGATTACGTATAAGAAAGTCTCTTGCAGATGATTTTCTTGAACAAAGAGCAGGGAATGAGTTATGTGAGTAGTCAGAAAAGGAGCATTGTTGAATGAAGAAGTCAAAGAAGGGGCAAGGAGAGCGTGATCTAAGAATGACTTGGAGATAGTGTGAAGGCTATGCGAAGCCACTGGAGGGACCACGCACGATGGGGAACAGGCACGCTTTCTAGGAGGGGAGAATAGGACTTAGATAATGAGTCAACGATGGGAGTAGACTACGGTAGGTAAACAGCCCCTCATTACGTCCATCAACATGGCTCTCGTTACGTTCAAGCGTGAAGCCAGTTTTGTATAGCCGAAGTTTTTTGAAGCCATTGATATTGCAGGGGGTTCAATTATAATACATTTTTGAACGGCTAAGCAATTTTTCACACATACATGATATATGGAGTGGTGTATTATAATATTTACCCAGCACTGGCTGCTGGAGTTTTAGCACTATTCAGTAGTTACACAGACGATTAGCCACCATTTCATCGTTGTGCACACTTAGTAGTCGTGATTGGCTAATTTTTTATCAATTAAAGCAACAGTTCAGGAACGGTTTCGCGGGAAAAAACCACCAATAATGAAGTTGTAGATGAAAACCAGACGATTAATGTATGAAAAACTGGAAAAAAACGTCGGGGAGGGTCTTAGACAGGTACTCTCCCTCTGCCGCTCAGCAATGGATAAAGACGCACGTTGGACGAGTTGTCTGAACGTGCCCGCTGTAAACGCGCTCCATTTTTCAATCAATTTTCCCTGTGGTCCCAAAACGAGCACGATTGCCGACGCGTCCAATGACGGCCGGCAAGGGGGCGGGATTGGGGAAATCCCCAAGAACACCCATGTTTGAGGGACTTTCCACCCTGTTTTTGAGTTTCTGAGGTAAGTTCGTTTATTATTTCCACTGCATATGTTCTTCACTAGGGCTCGTGTATCCCTCAGTAGTAGTGGCATTGAAATTTTCGGACCCTCCCTGAACTGTTGCTTTAAAGTGCGTTATTTCTGTCCATGAACCATACTTTAGTATTTTTGTAAGGGGTAGTTTGCTATTTGGAGGTTGAAGGCACATTCCGCGGCTTCTTGAACGGATCAAATGCTTGCATGCCGAGTGGAACCGCTATTCTAGGTTCGGCACTGACAACTGTGAGAAGAAGGCATTGGGCCCTGTCTTTGGCACTCTCAGATGTCGGTCAGACTCTGCGATTGCATCGCGCGATGCAGTCGCTCTGCCTAGAGCGATTGGCATCGCTCCAAAGTGCGAGCGACGGGAGATTTACCCCGCCGACGACCGATACACACGGCGCCGCTCGGGTAAATCTCCCGTCGCTCGCACTTTGGAGCGATGCCAATCGCTCTGACCTGCAAGTCGCAGAGTCTGACCGGACATTTTACCACTCAACTGCCCTTCCCCACTTAAGGGTCGGATCACATTTGCTACAGTTTAGGTTGATAGATACACTGAGTGTGTGGTCCCCGATTAAGCATACGTACGTAAAAACGCAAACCGCAAGAATCGCAAGATTCCAAAGTAAAGACCGACGCCCAGCCGTCAGCTGACGTTCCGTTAATTATAGTTCGCATTAATTCAAGAACCTGCGCACTAGCGGAGGCGAATCTACTCGCTAGCATTGGGAGCCAGTATTTTATTAAATTTACATGATGACACAACAAAAAAAACTAACAAAGTTCTTGTGACATCTCAATAACTTCAAAAACCAGCTTAGCTTTGCTATGATTCTTTTTTACCTTTTCATTGTTGGCGAATTTACCTGCAACTCCAAACTTATCTTGAGCAGCGCAACACATACAATACAAAGCCCGCCCTCTGAGCAGTCGTGTGTATGGATTTAACGCGGTGGCCGCCACACTGGATTGTAGTCGCGTGGATAAGCTGTTTCCAGTGAAATTTGTTGGAAACAGCTTATTCAAGCGACTTAAATCCACTACGGCGACGGCCACGTCAAATCCGAACTCACGTTTGCTCAAACGGCGAGATATGTTTGTGTTGCATGTGTTGCGCTGCTTAAGATAAATTTGGAGCTCCAAGTTAATTTGCCAACTATGAAGAGGTGAAAGAATTCGTGAGAAATTTTAGATGATTTCTGAAGTTATGGAATGTGCACAAGAACTGAGTGCTTGTTAGTTTTTTTTTCGTTTTCGTTTCCAATATCGTTTTCAATTTGTGGCCGCCAAGTCGAGTAGGTAGCACGCCTACTCACACACCTCGCAATATGGATTTAGATTATCGTCGAATGTGCTTTCAGCCATTAAACCGATTAGGATGAGAATTACACCCGCGACTAAATGTATTTTTATATTGAAAATATCCAAATTCTGGTTCTGTAGTAGTAGGCGCGTTCTTAGTTTGGAAGTTGCTGAGGCAAGTTTGCAAAACATCACAATTGAAGCTGATGTGTGATTATTCTCGAGATTAAAAAGCATCGACGAGAAGGTGGATGTCTAATCGCACTTACTTTGCCTACCACTAGGTGATCACAAAATCAGTTGATGTTGAGGATGAAAATTGTGCGTTCCGTTATCCAGTGCAAAACTTTTATGAAAATATTCAGATCATAGAAGATTTTGTGGGATGGCGGAAGAGTTGAACTGCGACCTAGATGACGGTTCGCATCATGACGGGTCCGATGGTGGCTCCAAGTTGAGTGCAGAAGATGCTCAAGGTATTATTGCATTAAAGATTGGGATGCCTGGGCTCAAATGAACAAGTGCTCAAACTCTTCCTTCGCTGAAAGTGTCCTTCGATCTTTCAAGAACATGCAAGCGACGCAAAGGAAAATTTTCAACCGCCTCCCGAGAAAGTGGAAGATGTCTTGGATCTAGATTACGATGAAGGCTCACCTAATGGAGCTCAAGAAAGAGCCGAGGATGGGGAAGAGGTACATTTTTTCATCTTGCTTTTAGATGCTTGTAATAATCCATTTTGCTCTTGTTTTCAAACACGTTCTTTGAAGAGTTCCGATGGAGAAATAGAGGATTCAAGCGATGAAAACAAAAACAACGCGGCTGATGGAGACAAAGAAGAAGGAGAAATAGACGACAGTGAGGAAGACGATGGGGAAATAGAGGTTGATATCGAGAAGACGCGCAAAGTTCCTATTGAGGTGATTCTTGGTCATTTTCCTCGTAAAGGAAGAAGTGCGTCAGGTCATTCACGATTAGCATGAATATTTAATAGCAGTGTCTTGTAATCGTTTTGGAATTGCTTTCCAATTTTAATGTACCGATAAAAAAGTGAGAATTTGTTCGAGGAGATTCACTTTTAAAACGGATCACCATCCTTTTGGCATAACACCTAACTCCATCATCACCTACTATCTCGTACTCCTTCTAGATCTTCCTTTTGCTAAGAGTTCCCTCTTAACGACTTTTACAACACTTGTCATTATGTAAAGTTCTCATATATTTTAGGCTCGCCTCAGTCGTCCACCTGCTGTAGTACGAGACAGAAGTATCAGAGCGCGAGATTGTCCATATGAAATTAATGGTTCCTGCACATGGGGCCCTGACTGCAAATACGTCCATCGCAATAAGGTGTGATTACTTCACTAATCATCGCACTTTGTTATTCTATAGTCAATATCTTGAATCTTCTAGGAACCTGTAAGGCTCTTCAGCAGAGGGAAGGTAGCCGAAGGTATGTTGAACTCTGTTTTGGCTGTTTTTATGCATAAAATGTTTTTTCTTTTCTTGAGCTGGCATTGAGCGGTTTTCTCATTTTAAGAAACTTCGTGGGAACGTGGTCTTCGAGAGGCACGAGAAGCCATGCGAAGAGCCTCTAAAAAACGCCAGGAACCTGAGTTTGAGACAAAACGGCTGACCGCTGCACCTACGGGGGAGCGTACTAGAACCATCCACGATTCGGATTCGGATGACGCCTCATCTCCACATAGGTATTACTTCTATCGCTTTTGGTTCTCAATATCTATTTCTATGCGTTCTTCGAAGTGACCTGGTTACATATTTATGAATTAAAGCTGTGATTTTCTACAAGCTAAGTATTTAAGGAAATCACCACATTCATCTCGTCAGCATATACCATCATTATTGGATATTAGCACTCTTCCACCGCGATTCCAGAGCCGTTCATCTTCGCACAAAGGTATGTTATTCAGGGGATGCACTTTCATGTGACATTTTCAGCGAGGTACAACAATGGATGTGTGTAATGCTTTTTCAATGGTATTTGTTTGCGAATGTACAATATTGGGTTGTTATGAAAGTTTCCGCCGTTATCAGCAGCTCAATCCCAAATGCTTAATTTGTGAACTAGTTTCAAGAAACTGCTAACATTTTTATCGCTAGAAGGTGCCTCCCTCGTTCTGCTCTTATTCCCACTCAAACTTGGCCAGAAAAGTACGGAGGCAAGTTGCGGTACCATTCGAGCAATTTGTCTTGAATCTGCAAAAAATGCACTCTGCTGTCGCGATTCAAAATGTTCTCTCGCGATGGTGGGAAGCTTCGGGGGAGATTAGGGTGGTAATCGAGTATGGAGGCTGACACGATTAACACATTGACGACAATGCGAGTTTTGGCTTTTTTGGCCGCGTGGGACCGGGCGATTTTGCGAGCGCGGCCGCCTCAGGTCGTTCAAGCAGATTTTGAGTGATAAATACATAAATAATGATTGATACAAAAGCTAAATCAGTAATTTCAGTGAGCAGAAGCTACCCAGAGTAAAAATTTCGATCTGAAGACATGAAATAAGAATGAAAAACAAAATCTGCAGACCTAGCTACATTGACACGAAAGCAATTTAAACTTGGTTACTTTAATCGGAACAGATATTGTCATCCACGTCATTTAGGTTCCGTATTCAGTTCTCTAGTCAGTTTATTCACTATTATTTTGAACCTCAGATTCATAAAAAGAGAAGGAAAAGAAAAATTGGCGAAACTGAAGATTGTGTAAGATATAGAAGTCCTCCTCCAAAGTAAAGCATGCGTGACCGTTCTGGGCCAGCAAGTTTATACCTATGCTAAGTTTTTTTTTCCATGGGATAAGTTCAAAAAACCATAGATGTGTCAGGCGTGCGCAAAAAAATGACCGCAACGGGGCGGGCATCATATATCCCGCACGGTCCGTCATGGCCCGCAGCAATTTGTTAACTGAAGATTATGATCGAACCAAATTTGCATGGAACTACTGAGAAGGCCGCTTAAGAATAGGTTTGACCGACAAGGGGTTTCCAGGTTCACAGGTGAAGATGAACGTCGAAGAGAAGTCGACAAGTGGGGTGCCGCCAACTCTTCTGCCCACTGTTGCACAGCCCCATCTCACACTCCCAATCGTGCACAAGTTGAACTAGCTGAGCTATAAAATTGTGCAAATATTTTGCGCAGCATACCTATTGCCAACTGTTATCGACATCTGTATACAGTTGAGCATCTCTTTAACACATTGACGACAGTGAGACGCGGTTGCGCGTCTCACTTTGCGCACCTCGTTGGACATTGAGACGCGTTACCGCGTCTCACCCTTATCATCCCTTTTTCTAGGGCATGCGCAGCTTTTCCCAAGTTGTTTGTAACGACCCTTTAAAGGAGGAATTCACGATTAGAATGAAGGTCGAAGAAAGGGAAACTGACCTAGTTGAGGGACCCACGGACCTCCTGAGGGTGCGAACTGACGCGCAATTCGCATGGAAAAATTTGACCTCGGCGACCTATCATGCCTCAAAGCTGGCGGGTCCGGCGATCTCCGCCCACCGATCATCTGATCACTCGCCGTAGTTCAATACGTGGCGAGTGATTAGATAGCTGAGAGAGCGTAGTGTT